GCCGGGACCCACACTGCGTACAAGGCTACAAAAGGGCCATTACAGGAAGTAGATCAACCCTTTGAATTCGGTAATCGAGTGATTAATCGAGCGGGCGTTGATTGGTGAGTGCTCCGGGCATCGGTGGACTCACCAATCAACGGCCGACGCCACGGGTTTCCGTTGTCCGTCGCATTATATACGTCGCAGGCAAATAGTCAAATTAGGCATTTTATCAAATGCCTAGGCAGATACTCGAATTTTCAATGTTTACGAGATTTTTTATGTTTTCATTATTACCTCTCTAATGGAGATGTTGCATGTGTGAGGAATTTGCGATTTGTCTATTGATTTTTATTTAAAAATTCGCGAGAAACACGATGGTGACACTGGTTTTCTCTGAAATCAACTCCCAAGCTTAAAAAAAGCTCTCAAGTTGAGCCCAAAATGGAGGGGATATCCCAACCTACCCTGAAAGTCCAGTCCACGTCTACATCAAGACAAACTCTCCATGCACAGATAGGGAGCAAATACATTGACAGGGCTGCCACTTTATTTGGGAACTCCAAAACTGAAAACACGGCAACCCTGCTAATGTATTTGCTTCCTATCTTTGCATGGAGAGTTTGTCTTGATGTAGAGGTGGACTCTCAGGGTAGGGTGGGATATCCCCTCCATTTTGGCCTCAACTTGAGAGCTTTTTTTGAGCTTGGGAGTTGATTTCAGAGAAAACCAGTGGCACCATCGTGTTTCTCGCGAACTTTTACATGAGAATCAACAGTCAAATCGCAAATTCCTTACACATGCAACATCTCCATTGAATCAGTGAGAACGAAAACACACCAACTCGAAAAAATGAAAATAATCAAGACTCACACAAAACTACACAGTAGTTGAAGCAGTTAGTATGTGAAAAATAATTTTGTTGCCGAAAGACAAGTACTTCAGGTCACTTTAAAAGTCCAAGTTGGAACAGATGCGCTAACTTAAATGACCTTTACGAAAACTGACTCTCTTCAATGAAAATTGAGTATTTTCGAAGTACCGAGTTGGTGTGTTTTGGTTCTCACTGATTCAATTTTTAAATCTTACGAGATTTTTTATGTTATCACAATTACCTCTCTAATTTTCAATATTTTGAGCCTAAAAATCCGTTAAAGTACAAACTGTCATTTTATTCCGCGTTCAAGTGTGCTCCTCATAATGCTTCAACCGCCCAAATTGTGAAAACTTTTTATTTTACGAAATGCTGCTTGTTTCGAGATAACGTAAAAAAATTGTCTGGATTTAGGACTGAGTTTTTATCATTCGTTTTGGAAGAACTCAGTTTTAATAGTTTGGAATTGAACAGTTTTCTACGTCGTAGAAACGATATTGAAGCTTCCAGCGCGTTAATCAAGTTTTCCAAATTGACTTGAAGTTCACAGTTAAATGGTTTGAAAATATTGTTGAAGTGTTTTCTTTCTTTTCCTTTATTTCTATCAGGTTTTCGACAAATACTTTTTGCATGTGATTGTTTGCATTGCCTCAGAATACGAGCGAGGTTGCATAACCTGAACTAAAAAAAAAAGAGTTTAATTGGGCCGAGAGAAAAAGAAAGAGGAAAAATTTAATAATCTATTTTTTTGCCACATAGCGCTCATAATTTCAACTCGAGACTTAGGTTATTAAGTTCACAAGAATGCCATAACTCATTCAGTTTTCGCGGTATTAACTGCACCTCGACGTTTCAGCATAAGGAAAAGCGAACACCTTTGTTCCGAAAGTATAAATTTAGCATGACCGAACCGAGTCAAGTCGGAAGGAACCAACGCACATTCTGCCTTGCTAAGGAAAAACGCCGTATGAACCGCTAGGCGTTGCCAAATTTCCTTGGATAAAACACGAATTTCCTGATAAACTTATGAATATTTTCTTTCCAATTTTTCAGATACTTTTGCTCGGGATTTCACCTAATGTTCCTGAAAATTTCGAGGAAAAATATACATAACTTTCCTCAAAAATGAACATTTTACTAAAGAAAATTTGGCAACTCTCGAATGTCGATACGGCGTTCTTCCTTAGCACGGCAGCATTGCGGTAGGAAAGATGGAGAAAGAGATTTGAAATTTTATTCATTCATTAGATTCATGGTAAATTCATCTAAAAGAATCATACCGAAAGAAGAAAATACGGTACAAAAAATCTATGATTTTGACCGACTTTAAGATAGGTACGAACTTACGTTAAAATTTACAAAACTTTCCATGAGTTTTCTTTCGTATTTTGTATTTTTTGTAATGGTAAATCATTGAAATACCTTCCAGGAACCCATTTCAAAAATAATTATACTACTGAATTTTACTGGGGATTAATAGTAGTATTTATGATGATTCGTCACGGATTTTCTTGAACCTTCCTTTATCACAATTTAAACCACATGTGATTTCTTAAGAAAAGGAACTGTAATTGAGACGACTATGAATACGACCTTGACAGGGATGCCATAGAATATAGAAAATAAAATTCCCTGACATTTCCCTGATTTCCCCAGACACATTATGAAAAATTCCTTGACAATGGAGAATTTGCACGCAAAATTTTTATGGCTTCATCTGAGAGTGCTTAAAGAGCTAACTTTGCAGTATTTTCTATACATTTTTTCTAATGTGGGGCATAGTAAGAGTAAAGAAAATCGATTTAAAAGTGATAGATTGCACCGCCTGAAGACGTCATCTAGCGACATTTCCCTTTCAAATACATGTTTCAGCAGATGTTAGATCAAATTTTGTCGTACCTTCTTCAATAATTGCTCAATTTATAAACCAAGGGTATCCTACCGTGCCGTGGTCAGTTCACTGAGCATTTTCTACTTTGTTAAACACGAAATTTATAAAAATTTAGAAACCTAAAAATTCTCCATTGAGGAAATGCCACATGTTAAAATAAACATAATTAGAAATAGGTTTCAGGCAAAATTTGTTGTTCGAAACCTCGGGCCCACTCCAGAAAACGAATAAAGAAGACCTGACACTTTTCCCCTGAGATTTCCCAGTATTCCCCCTGACCGTGGCAACCCTGCCTTAAGTCTTACCCCGCCGAGTAATCCGGTCCTTAAGATGAAAGAAGGCTCACACGGCACACATACTGCCGTGTTGAGGAAGAACGCCATATGAACATCCAAGAGTTGCCAAATTTCCTTCGACAGAATGTTTATTTTTGAGGAAAGTTATGAATATTTTTCCTTGAAATTTTCAAAAACTTCGGGTGAAATGGAGATGTTGCATGTGTGAGGGATTTTCGATTTGACCAGTGATTCCTATGTAAAAGTTCGCGAGAAACGAGATGGTGCCACTGGTTTTCTCCGAAATCAGCTCCCAAGCTCAAAAAAAGCTCTCAGGTTGAGGCCAAAATGGAGGGGATATCCCACCCAGCCCACCCTACCCTGAGAGTCCACATCTACATCAAAACAAACTCTCCATGCAAAGATAGGGAGCAAACACATTAGCAGGGTTGCCGTGTTTTCAGTTTTCGAGTCCCCAAATAAAGTGGCAGCCCTGTCAATGTATTTGCTCCCTATCTTCGCATGGAGAGTTTGTCTTGATGTAGAGGTGGACTGTCAGGATAGCGTGGGATATCCCCTCCATTTTGGGCTCAACTTGAGAGCTTTTTTTGAGCTTGGGAGATGATTTTAGAGAAAACCAGTGGCACCATCGTGTTTCTCGCGAACTTTTACATAAGAATCAATGGTCAAATCGCAAATCCCTCACACATGCAACATCTCCATTACCAACAAAATTATCTGAAAAATTGGAAAGGAGGTATTCATATTGACCATAAAATTCGTGTTTTAGCAAAGGGAATTTGGCAACGCCTGAAGGTTAATACGGCGTTCTTTCTCAGCACGGCAGGATATCCCTCCAAGATCTCCACGTCCCCCTTTTCGGTGTGCGGTTTTATGACGCAATGCCATTGCGATTCGCGGAGATGACTCAAGGAGCTATGCGCATGGCTCGCTCGCACAAAGAGCGAAAATGCCTCGACTTTCCTATGACTCATGCGTTACTTTTCTTCGGTGAGTCATCTCTCATCCGCCAACGCCACGCTCAGAGAAGGTGCTCCACGTTTTTTATCTCTTCATTTCGCGAGAACGACGAAATACAAAATTAACTAACTGACTCTGATCAGGATTGCCACCAAATTTAGAAAATAATATTTCCTCACTGGAAAAAAAACACATTGGAGTCCAGACTCTTAAAACATCGACAAGAAAAAGTATTCTTGATTCGATCAGAATCTAGCTTAAATCAAGAACCAAGCCTCTTAATTTAAGCGGATTTCGTTTTGATTCAAGCAAAAATCCGATTGAATCAGGAGTATTTTTTCTTGTCAATGTTTTTAAGAGTCTGGACTCTAGATCCAATGTGTTTTTTTTCCAGAGCTGATATTTCCCTGATTTCCCTGAAACATTTTGGTGAAATTCCCAGACAATTGAAGGTATGCCAGATGGTAGAAAGACATAATTAGAAATAGTTTTCGGGCAAAATTTGTTGTTCGAAATGTCAAACCCATTCTAAAAAGCAAATAAAGGTGACTTGATAATTTTTTCCTGACATTTCCCGGTATTCCCTGACGGTGGCAACCCTGCCTGATTCAGTTGCTGTAGTGGTTGTAAGGAGCCAAGGGTCAAGAGCAGTTAAATGTATTTTTTTAGTTCAAGAAAACGATTCCAAATTTCGAAAAAGGCGCATCTTCCAGGGTGCGTACTGGAAAGCACGTGCTTACTACAGCCCCTTGATAAATTCAAGGCTTAAAATACTACTATTGCACCTCCTGTGGACCTGCTATTGCCTATCGCGCGAATTGAAGGCGAAACGCTTATCCTTCATTTACTTCCATTCTGAAAAAGCTTCGAAAGCAATCTTCCGAGATAGGAAACTTAAAACATACAACGCAATGAATGAATGAGGTAACCCGAAGGAAAAGATGACGATGAGCATACAACTGGAATAAAATGTAATAGAAGAATTGAGAGCACTTACTAAAATCTATTAGGAGTCTTCCGAAACCCTGCCGTTGATAGGGCGGAAGAGTAAGGATACAGGATACATTGTAGTTTAAAAACGAATTCTTCTCCTGTGAACAAAACGAAAAATTCGAGATGAGTGAAGCTTCAAGTGAAAATGGATCTAATACGAACGAAAATAGAGGAGCCATTTTTCATCGAAACACGCTCAACGAAATGAAAAATGAAACTTCGTGACACTCGCGATTCAGACGAGAATTCCGCCGTCCTAAGGAAGAACGCCGTATGAACCTTCAGGCGTTGCCAAATTTCTTTTAATAACACACGAATTTCTTGGTATGTATGTATAAAGTCGCTTTTATAGCGCTCTTTGGCGCTCTGCGACCCCTAGCCGCCAAAGTCCCCTATCCTCCCAAAGCCCTTCAGGGAATTGACAAACCCTCATTTCTTCTAAAACCCCCTGTCGCCACCCTTTCACTGGGCGTCCCCTTCGTCTCCTCCCAGGAGGAACCCAATCAAGAAATATTTTCCTTTCAGATTTTCAGAGAATTTTGTTTGTATTTTGTTCTGAAGTTCCAGAGACTTTCGACTTTTTACCTGACCCTTTCGACATTTTCCCTGACTATTAAGGATCTGCCGTACGACCACTAAACCATATGATTTGAAATAGTTTCCAGGCAAAATATTGTTCTAGACGTCAAATCGATTCTAGAGAGCGTATAAAGGTAAATTAATACTTTTTCTCTGACTTTTTACAAACCTCTGGCATTTCCCGGTTTTCCCTGACTGCACTGGAAAAAAAAACACATTGGATCTAGAGTCCAGACTCTTAAAAACATCGACGAGAAAAAGGACTCTTGATTCAATCAGATTTAAGCTTAAATCAAAAGGAAATCCGCTCAAATTAAGAGGCTTGGTTCTTGATTTTATGATTTGAAATAGTTTCCAGGCAAAATATTGTTCTAGACGTCAAATCGATTCTAGAGAGCGTATAAAGGTAAATTAATACTTTTTCTCTGACTTTTTACAAACCTCTGGCATTTCCCGGTTTTCCCTGACTGCACTGGAAAAAAAAACACATTGGATCTAGAGTCCAGACTCTTGAAAACATCGACGAGAAAAATGACTCTTGATTCAATCAGATTTAAGCTTAAATCAAAAGGAAATCCGCTCAAATTAAGAGGCTTGGTTCTTGATTCAAGCTAGATTCTGATTGAATCAAGAGTACTTTTACTTGTCAATGTTTGTAAGAGTCTGGACTCTAGATCCAATGTCTTTTTTTTCCAGTGTAGTATGGTTCACAGGCCGAGAATCATTAGTCCATTTACGACTATTAATGGTGTTGCATGTGAATCCCTAATTGATTTATGAAGCTAAAGAATTTTCTCCCTGTTGGTTGTACATATTCTTGTAAAAAAGAAATAATAATAATAAATTAAGTCAATTTTGCAACTTTGGAATATAGTTACGTTTCTTCGTCAAGAGAATGACGAATTGTTTAAAAACTCTATAATTATGCAGGATGCATAATTATAGAGTTTTTTCTTGTCGATGTTTTTAAGGGTCTGAACTCTAGATCCGATATGTTTTTTTCCAGATTGCGGCAACCCTGACCTTATGATTAATCCATTGATGGAGATTTATGCCACGGGAGATCATCAAGAAACAATCAAAACCGAACTTTCAATCGCCAACTGGTCGAATATCGCAGATCCTGCGGTATGATTCGTCGGCCTCCTGACACGAGGGCGTAACAACATTTCGCGATGAACCCTGTCATCCATATAACTAAATGTTTTCCTGGGCTCATCTCAAATTGCACTTACGCCCTTTTGTCAAAACGAATTCCTGGCCGCACTGAAAAAAAAAATCTCGGTGTATTTACTAAGAAAAGGGTAAAATTGCCAAGAATTCACGGTTCTATTTGATCCCAGTTTTGGTAAAATTATCATTTATGGAATCGGTAATTTTACCGAGAAATCTCGGTAAAAGTATCGAACTTTCTCGGTAATTTTACTGGACCTTGGTAAAAACGCCAATATTCTTTATCGACTGTGGTAGAATTACCGAGATAAAGTGGCAAAGTTACCGGGAATTGATTACCAATAAAAGTGGTATTCTTACCTGAAAAAAAAAAAACAGTAAAAATACCGGTTTTTAGGTAAGCTTACCAGTCTGTCTCGGTAAAATTACCAATAATTGGTAAAAAATGTGAGATGGTAAAGGTACCAACGGACCCTAGTAAAAACGCCGAGAATTTTTTTTCAGTGCGGATCCCTGATTCGGAGTCGTTAGTCGTCTGCGTGTCAATTTCAAATCCCAATCCAATCCCCCGGCGAAAACTTCCGTTTACCCGCGGCCCGGGGAGGGGGCCGGGGGGGGGGGTATCTTGAGTTTCTGTCCGAACGCTCCGATGAACTGGCGTTTGCACTTCGTCCCGTGACTGTTTGCATAGTTCCCATCTTTCCCAGTTTTCCCGACCCTGACCGGCCCAACCCGCCGTCGTCGCATCCGAGCCGGAAGCTATACTCCTTTGTCGCTTCCTGCACGAAATTTCGAAAATCCAGACGGAAAGATGCAAAAAGACGGGAATAATGGCTGACACTTGGACCGCGTTTAACAGAGAGGAACCAAGCCACATCAGCTATTGCCAATTTTAACTGGGCAATTTCATTTTTTACAAGAGAACGTTTGCGCGGATTTCTTTGAAAATTTTAAGGAATTTGCCTCGTCCTGTGGAGAAAATTCACTGAAAGGGTATCCCGGGATAAGCATGTCAGAATGCCCTTGTGAATGGATTTTTATTTTAACCATTTTAAGTCATCAAGGGGGTCCTAAAACTTAGGTTTTGGGGGGTTTCAGCCATTTCAGCTCGTCATTTCAGCTCTTGTAAACGCTTACACTGCCGTGTTAAGGAAGAACGCCGTATGGGCATTCGAGAGTTGCCAAGTTCCCCCGGATAAAGCATATATTTTTGACGAAATCTATGTATATTCTTCCTTAAAATGTTCAGGTGTTTTAGATTAAATTGCGAACAAAATGATCTCAAAATTGGAAGAAAAATATCGACGGTGTAGAGTCGGCAATCACATAACTCATTTTGCGACGTCGCAGACTTCCTGTTATACTTTATTTTTTAAACAGAAAACTACTCAACGGTAATTCTCTAAAACTGCCGTGATTTTTCTTCTCTGTGCGAAGAAAATTCTGCAAAAACTTCAAAGAATGATGTCAATTTGTTCATCTTTAAAAAAATAACATAGAGGCGGAGATTTTCAGACACCGCAAACGAGATATATGATTGCCGACTTACACCGTCGATTTTTACAATTTCCCTCATAAATTGGTATCTTTCCAGAAGAAATTTGGCAACGCCTGGAGGCTCATACGGCGTTTTTCCATAGCATGGCAGCACAAGGGACCAATCCCCGGACAGAGGAAAACGAAAGATCCGATTAGGCAGACGCATGGGTGTTCTCCGCTCAGGTGGAATAGGTACAGCGCCGGGGACGACGGGGTCACGGGCCTCAATAACGCAGCCAAGAAATCCGATTAGAAATTAGCGCCGGACGCGGGCGCCGACGCAACCTAGCAGAACAATCAATGCAGAACGTAGCGGTGCACGGCGGGTTGCATAACGCGGGCCGGGCGGGGGTCGTAATCTGGCCCGGGCGGGCATTCCCATCCCCGTCCGTATCACACACGATCGAACACGCCGACCGAAAAACAAACGCAACCCGCAGAACAAACATGCTTTGCAGGTTGCCCGGCCGGGGAGGCAGGCGTCGCGCGTCGCGCCGCCGTCGCGACTAATGCGGACTCGACGATAACGATGGCGCACAAAGGGTCCGCTTGGACGGAATTCTGGAAAATATTCAAACGAATGGATTGCTGGAGGATTTATGGATGACTGAAATTTGATGACTTTTGTGCTTGAGAGGAAACTTTGCTCGACTAAATTTTCTTGTGGAGATATCAAATTGGGAGAAGGGGATTCAGTAACTGGTTAAAAGATGAAAAGCCTTGAAATATTCAAACGGCTGGATTGCTGAGTCGTTTTGAGGATTTGTAGATGTCTGAAGTTTGACGAGTTTCGTGCTTCAGTGGAGAATTTGCTGAAATTTGGACAAAATTTCCTCCTTGAGAGATCAAATTGGGAAAAAGGAATTCAGTAAGTGGTTAAAAGATGAAAAGCCTTAAAATTACCGGAGAAAATGTACATTCCCAGGGTGGCTAGCAAAATTTTATTTAATCATTCCCTGACTTTTCCCGGACCTCTAATGAAATTCTTTTACTTTGTTACGATAACATAAGGGCACTCAACCAATGCGGTCAAAACGTTGGCACAACAACAGCGTGTCTAGGTTTTTCATTTTGGAAAATCCTGATTTTCCTGATTTTTGACGGCTAAATCCTGATTTCATAATTTTTCTAAATCCTTACTAAATCCTTATTTTTTGCGAAGAAAAATTGTGAGAAAAATTGGCGAATTTAACTTTACAAAAATAGCTCGATGAAAAATCCGATTGGACGGCCGACTTTTCTCAAATCCTGATTTTACGACCGATTTTTCTTCAAATCCTGATGAAATCGGGATTCAATCCTAATGAAATCGGGATTCAATCCTAATGAAATCGGGATTCACTCCTGATCGACTTCAAATTCTGATAGAATCGGGAAAATCCTCATCCTAGACACCCTGAACAAAGTGTTCAACTGACCCGTTACGGACTCGATTTTTACGTGGAACCTGGCTCCACAAAAAATTTCCTGGTTTTCCCCTGATTTTTTTCAATCGAGTTGCGTTCCCTGACTTTTCCAGGTTTTCCCGGTCGCTAGCCACCCTTAGTTGAAGATCAAGGATATGTGTTGTTATAGTGATCAGTGGATGTGCCAGCAATCCCCTGGCTTTTTCCACTGATTCCCTGTTTTCCGAGTCGCAAAAAATCCCTTAATTTCCCGGCTTTTCAGACTGCCGAGAGCCCTGCAATTTCAATTTAACATTTTATTCAAATTAATAGACAAAGCTATAGACAACGAAAACAGGAGTATGGTAGGATCCCATTGGTGGAACCGGGTTGTTGCAATGGACAAATGAGGTAGGAAACAC